AAATTTTCCCTTTATTTCTTTTATTTCTTTTTTTATTAGAGTCCTTGCTATTTAAAATATTTGAAAAATTTTTTTGGCTGGACAGGTGATTAATTCCAGAGCTTGTGCTTGCTAGGCACAAGCTACCACTGAGCTACATCTCCACTTCATTTTGAGTCTTAATTGTTACAATTATTTAATTATAGTTACTTTATTTTTGTATCAGTTAAAAAGTTGTTTGTTTGATTCTCAATTCTACTTGAATTATGTTGTTTGTTGGAGTTCTGGGGATTGAGCCTAAGGCCTTTGCACAGTTACATCCCAGACCGTATTTAAATTTGAGAAAGGTGTTGTTTTCATCCACGAGTCAGCTCGTGGAACAGGGTTGAGGGGGCCCGGACTGGGAGGGCAAGGCACGGAATCACCTTGCAAGCTTCAGGGAGGTTTGTGGAACGCTTCTGCTTTATTCAGCAAATGCACAGGCTCATATAGGGAAAGGTGGGGTGGAGCCAGGGTGGAGTCGGCATATTTGGCACATCGCTATTGGCCACATGTTAGTTTTTGGATTGTGTGCTTTAGGGGCTGAGGCGAATGCAGTCAGGACTTTGGAGGTTTTTGAGAGGAAAGGTCAGATCTCCTCACACCCGAGGGGGTGGATTATTCCAGTCCTAATAGGCCTCACAGTTTTCTCAGGAGAGATGGGTGCGGTGCTCCTGACTCAGCCAGACATTAACCTCATCCTCACACAGGGTCTCCCTAAATTCCTAAATTGCCTAGGCTGTTCTTGAACTTGAAATCCTCCTGCCTTAGTCTCCCAGAGTCCTGGGGTTACAGGCATTGCCTCTCTGTGCCTGTTGGTCAATGTAGTTCTTACTTTGTCTCAAGGAAACGTGCAAAAAACAAGTTAGATGATCAACCTCAGTGAGCAATATAGCTCACCAGATGGGGCAGTCAAAGCCCTCAAAGACATTTTTATCTCATCAGCAATTTGGAATGTGGGAGCTAGAGTCCACAATTCAAATCTCTGCAGTTTTCTCTTTCTTATCTACTTATTTAAAGACAGGTTTGGCTATGTAGCTGTCTTAGTTACTTTTCTCTCATTGCTGAAACAAAATAACCAGAACCCATAGTTAAAGGAGGAAAGTTTATTTAGCTCACAGTTTATAGAGGTTTTAGTCCATAATTGGCTGGCTCCAAGACAGGGTGGCACATGGCAGAAGGGCAACAGTTCCTGGCAGCAGTAGACAAGCAGAAGACCTTAGCAGCATTTTCGTGCCCCTTTTATCTTAACCAGACTACTTAGGGTGGGCAGCACTCACACTCTTAGTCCTAGCGTCCTTCAGCCTAGCACTGCATCATCAATCAATTCCAGAGTCACACACTCTAAATCCAGCCACCTCCAAAAAAATGTCCACCTCATTCACACGAGGCTTTGGGGGGGACATCTAAACACAAGCCATAACAGTAGCCCAGGCTCACAGTCCTCCTCTCTCAGCCTCAGGAGTACTGAGATGACAGGTGTGCATTACTGGGTCTGGCTTGTGGTCTTCTTCCCACACAAATAAAACTACAGATGGAAGTGGCTTCACATTTCGTAGGCTAAATATTAGCAATGTTTATGGGCCTGAATAATCTAAGAATGGCCTCTGAGCTTCTCAGGCTGGTATTGAGACTCTGAGTGATCTTCTGAAACACAACATGACATTTCACTGCTCAAAACCACTCCAAAGTTCTTGGTCTGAGGCTCTGTCTGTACTGGCCCCTGCCTGCTGTTATCATTCACCAGTTCCACTACCTCCTGGCTCAGTTTATTTTAGCCACAGACCTTACTCAAGGCTGCTTCTGGAGATGTCTGTTTGCCTATTTCTTACAGGCTCGTGAGGCCCGGTTCCTCATTTCGTTGAAATTACCTCACATGTCATCTCCTCAGACCTTCCTTCCATGATGAATAAAACAGTAGTTTCTGTCCCTCTCGATTCCCTGCTTTAATTTCCTCATAGCACTTAACACTTTCATTTTATTCACAAACATTTTTATTTTCTCCGTGTTAGAATGTAAGCTCTGTGAAGGCAGAAATGGGACACAGGACTTTCAGACAGAGAGATTCACTGTACCAGCAAGCAGGAAGATTAATGGCTAGGATCGCACTAAAACCAAGGCTCAGCTTCTCACCACTCAGGGTGACTTTGAAGGGGGAATAGTTATTCTAAACTTTCCTTTCCAGAGTGCCATGTGTAGTAGTGGATCAGAATGTTGTTTTGGAAGCCCATGAAATTAACTTCCATACTTCATCTTCTACCTCTAGTTCTCAGATAATAAAAATATTTATTTTCAGGGTTCTTAGGAGAGCTACACGAGACAGTTGTTAATGCATGAAAGCTCATAGCTCATAGCTGTATGCACTAGTGTTTTTTTTTATTATTCTTTATCTGTTATTTTTTATTTTGTGTTTTGCTAGGAATTGAACGCAGGGTCTCTCTCAGGCTAGGCAAGCACTCTATCATTGAGCTATATCCCCAGTCCTATTCTTTATCTGTTAATGGAGACAGTGCCTAATTACTATTCCAGGTTATAAAGTTCTTATTAGATTATTCATGTAAAAGTTATATAGGTTGAGACTCTTCTCTTAAGTCCTATTTTTCATTTTAGGAGCCAGGAATGTACTTTTCCAGAGCCTGTTGTAATGTTCCTTATGAAAACGGGGCCATGGCTTCCTTCATCCAAGTGATGCATTTTAATGACCACGGGCATTCTCTTGAAAAGCGTTCTCTGACTTTTCTCCTGTCTGTGGTTGCACGTTTCGAGGTTTACGGGTGTTTTTTTCATTTGGAAATCTCTGTCCCACATCAGGCTGGGACGCCCTGAGGCAGGCAGTTCACCACCACGCCCAGCCCGCAGCCCTGCTGCAGTGCCCATCAACGATCTAGCTAAAGAAGCTGCGTGACGGGCCAATCAGAAGAAGTTTGGCCCTTTACAGATTCCGTCCGCTCACTAGGAGGCGCTGCGGCGACGGCGACGGCGGCCGAGGTTGTAGTGGGCCGGACAGTTGGGCTGTCGGCGGAGGCTCGTGACCATGGAGCGGGGCTCT